AGGTGTCATGTCCCTGCATAGGATGAACAGCCCTGTGGTCAGATAAGTTGTCATCCCTCCACTAAAATCTAAGCTCTGGAAGGGAGAGCATGACCTGTCTTGTTTGTTCTTCTGCTTCTGTGCCCAGCACACATAGAAGATGCTCACGTGTACATAGTAAACGAATGAGTCCACGTTTTCCTGGGGAGCAGATTGAGGCTCAGAAATGAAGATTCACTTGCTCAGAGTTGCACAGCCAGTACCTGCCCTGTCCCCTCTGGTTCCCAGGCCCTTGGCTGGGTGGTAGCAGCCACCTGTTACCTTCTCTAATCTTGGGACCACTTCCACTTCCATCCAGGTGACATCATCCAGAAAATCATTCCTAACCATGAGCTGGTGGGGGAGCTGGCGGGGCTGTATTTGGAGAGCATCAGCCCGAGCAGTCGCAGCCCTGCCAGTGTGGAGCCCACCGTGCCCAGCGCCGGCCTTGAGTCGGACCCCCAGGGAGGGGGCTGCTCCCAGGATGACGGCCACTCGGGGACCTTTGGGAGTGTCCTAGTCGGGAACCGCATCCAGATCCCTGACGACTCTCAGCCGGAGAGCTCCGGCCCCCTGGGCCTGATCTCCGGGATGGGCAGTGGGGGCCTCGGCAGCGAAAGCGAAGACAACGCACTGAAGCGGGAGCTGCCACGGAGTGCCCACGGGCTGAGCGGGAACTGGCTGGCATACTGGCAGTACGAGATTGGTGTGAGCCAGCAGGATGCCCACTTTCACTTCCACCAGATCCGCCTGCAGAGCTTCCCGGGCCACTCAGGGGCTGTCAAGTGCGTGGCACCCCTGAGCAGTGAGGACTTCTTCCTGAGTGGCAGCAAGGACCGCACCGTGCGCCTCTGGCCACTCTACAACTATGGGGACGGCACCAGCGAGACAGCCCCACGCCTCATCTACGCCCAGCACCGCAAGAGTGTCTTTTTTGTGGGCCAGCTGGAGGCCCCCCAGTATGTGGTGAGCTGTGATGGGGCTGTGCACATCTGGGACCCCTTCACAGGTGAGCGGGCCCAGGTGAGGTCTGTTCTGTTGCTGTCACCCTGTCCTCCGGTAGGCCTCTGGAATGGGGCCCAAGGGTGGAATGGTTGGAGTGTGGTGCTGTGTGGTTTTGGGGTGACCCAGTGAAGCCACACAGAGGAGCAGTTAGGACTTGGAATCCATTAGACCTCAGTTTGAATCGGCCCTGACCACTTACTTGCTGAGTGATCTTTACTGCTGGAAGCATCAGTTTTTCCATCTGTAAAATGGGAATCAGAACAAATGGTTTAGCTTAACATAGAGGTTTGGCTTAAAATGTAGCATTAGCACATGTTTGGTAAGTGGTGGCTCAATTATTTTTTGGCATCATTGGAGGGAGGAAATAAAGTTAAAAAGGGGGTTGGAATAGCATTGAGGTAGACAGAGGGAGGTAGCATTCAGTCGTTGGTTTGGGGATGGGAGTCTGGCCTGGCCATGAAAGAAGGAAGGTAGGAAGGTCGAGAAACACCTAGTATTTTCTGAGATCCCTGGGGATATGGGAGGCAGGTATGGGGTTGGTCGGGAAGATAGGAGGAGTTTGGGCTCTGCCATCAGCTGCTGGAACCCCAGATCCACTGCAGGTTTCTTTTCCAGGGAAGACCCTTCGCACGGTGGAGCCGTCGGACAGCCGGGTCCCCCTGACCGCTGTGGCTGTCATGCCCGCTCCCCACAGCAGCGTCACCATGGCCAGCTCTGACTCGACCCTGCGCTTTGTGGACAGTAGGAAGCCTGGCCTGCAGGTCAGGGATGTCCAGTTGCCTGAGCCCGGGCCTGGGTGACTTCTGGCTGCAGGGAGAGATCCCCAAGAGAAGGCCAGGGCGTAGTTTCTCTTTGGAGACAGATCACCTATAGCAGCAATCCCTGGGGGGTGGGACGCTGATGGGGGAGCTCTCCCCTTGACTGGGGGGACAGAGACTCAGGCTTCCCGGGTGTGTGGGCTTAGGGCTGAGCAGGACCTCAGGGAGAGCGGCTTGGAGCAGGCAGAGCCGACAGTGGCACCTCAGCTTGTCTCCCTCTGCCTGCAGCATGAGTTCCGCCTGGGTGGCGGGCTGAACCCTGGGCTGGTCCGCTCCCTGGCCGTGAGTCCCAGCGGCCGCAGCGTCGTGGCCGGCTTCTCCTCGGGCTTCATGGTGCTCCTGGACACCCGCACAGGCCTGGTTCTACGTGGCTGGCCTGCCCACGAAGGGGACATCCTGCAGATCAAGGTGACAGACCAGGGCCCTTTCCCCACCTCACTGCTCTGGGTCCCCACCTCTGTGTAGGGCCCACCCAGGACAGGCTCCAGCTGAGCTTCCTGGACCTGCCCAAGGACAGGTGTAAGGGAGCATCGGGAGCCAGCTTCACTGCGGGGCCTTGGCAGGAGGCAGGCCACGGGGGCGGGCGCTGCGGGCCGAGCTGACCCTGCTGCTCCCTGGAGATGTTCTAATGAGTAACCCTTGTCCATATTTGTCTTGCTTGGAGGATCAGGGGTCGGGTCCTGTCCGTGACCCAATTCAGGTTAAATAAAGCTCAGCTGGGAGGCTGTTTACTGCCCCCAGACCACTGAGCAGAGTCCATGCCCCCTGCTGGGCTGCTCTGGTGGGGGCAGGGGCAGACCGGGCATGGGGATCCTGCCCCCACCCCATTCTCAATCACGGACCTCAGGGAGGCACGGTGTGTGTGTGTGTGGGAGGAGGCGTGGGGGCACGGGGCTACTTGTGGGAGGATTTTTCCTGGCAGCTGGGATTCCCTCCCCATCCTAAGTGGAGGCCAGGCCAGGGCACATGCACTGACGCTGCTGGGGGGACAGGCTGCCTGGGCTCCCTTCAGACCCCCCTACCCCCCGCCCCAGGGGACCCTGGGCTGCAGATGCCTCTAACTTCTGGCTTTCCAATCCTGACTTTCCAGGAGGGCTCTGGGGTCAGCCTAATGTTAATCCTGGCTCTGTGACCTTGGTATGATTAGTTAACTTTCCCGAGCCTCAGTTTTTCTCTGTAAAATGGGAAGAGTGACAGCATTTACCTCATAGGGTTGTTACAAAGATGAAACGTGGTAATGCGGTGTGCCTAACACAATGCCTAAACATAGTAAGTGCTCAAACTATAGTGATGACTAGGTTAATGATGCTGTAATCCTATATAATAAAAAGGTAATATGCAAATCGACCAAACGGCCGAATGACCGGTCACTATGATGCGCACTGACCACCAGGGGGCAGACGCTCAACACAGGAGCTTCCCCATGGTGGTCAGTGCGCTCCCACAGGGAGGTTGCTGCTCAGCCACAAGCCGGGCTGACGGCTGGTGAGCGCAGCGGCAGTGGCGGGAGCCTCTCCTGCCTCCGCAGCAGTGCTAAGGATGTCCATCAGTCGGACATCTCCCCAGGGCTCCCAGACTGCTAAAGAGCGCAGGCCAGGCTGAGAGACCTCCTCTCCCTCAGTGCACGAATGTCGTGCACCGAACCTCTAGTATATTCATATTCATTAACATGAACATAATGTGGGAAGATGGCAGCCCGTCAGCCGTTCAGAACATCCTGTCTTCCTGGGAGAGATCGTGGGAGGAAATGGGAAGACCCTGGAGCTGGGTGGGCCCACGGGAGCCCCAGGCCCTGCTGAGGCTCCCCTCTCCCTGAGCAGGCCGTGGAGGGCGGCGTCCTGGTCAGCTCCTCCTCCGACCATTCCTTGACCGTCTGGAAGGAGCTGGAGCAGAAGCCCACACACCACTACAAGTCGGCATCGGACCCAATCCACACCTTCGACCTGTACGGCAGCGAGGTGATCACCGGCACCGTGGCCAACAAGATCGGCGTCTGCTCCCTGCTTGAGCCGCCCTCCCAGGCCACCACCAAGCTCAGCTCAGAGAACTTCCGTGGCACACTCACCAGCCTGGCCTTGCTGCCCACCAAGCGCCACCTCCTGCTGGGCTCAGACAATGGGGTCATCCGCCTCCTGGCATAGGCTGCTGTGGGAGCTGGCCAGGCCTGGGTAGGCAGATATCCTCCGGGAGTCCACCCCCTCACCCTGTTTCCCCCTCCATGCAAGCCTCTGGCCCCATGCCCAGTGTAACCATGTGGCCTGCCAGCTAGGGCAGAGTGGGAGTCCGGGCTCCTGAACCCCCAGAGCCACCAAGGTTGTCAGGGGTCTCGGTCATGACTTGGGGAGACTGCCCCTGGCCAGCAGGAAGCAAGAGCAGGAGCTGGGAAAGCATCGCTGCCCCTCTTCACCCCAGCTGTGTCCTCTGCGTCCACATGGGGACAGGGGAGCTCAGGAAGAGGAAGGGAGACTGGCCCTGCCCACCTGCTTTCCAGCCAAGGCCCCCCACTTCCTGCTGGGCTCTTTGCCCCTGTCCCCCAAGGACAGAGAAGCTGCCCCAGTCCAGCACCCCATGGTGCTTGGGCTCCAGCCTCTATGGTCCAGGAATTAAGGGCCTTGGGCTGGGGTTTAAGTGTCCACGCAGCCAGGCCCTGCCCTGTCTGGGACCCGTAGGACAAGAAAGAGGTCAGGACCAGGGCAAAGAAGATGGACCGGCTAGCTGCTGCCTGCTGGGAGTGGCCCCAAGCTCGCCTGCTTACCCCTAACCACAGACAGTGTTTGTGCCTTGAACTGAGGAGGCAGCCCCTGAGCCCAGAACCCCTGCGAGGGGGTGAGATGGGGGGTCCAAGACCCTGAAAGAAGGGCCAAGAAGAATTTCCTCTGTGCATCTCAGGTCTCTCCCAGGGAACAAGAAGATCCTGGGGCCCCCGGGTCCTCACATTGTGGAGCAGAGCTGAGCTCTGGGACTGGGCCCCTGCTGCCTCCTCACTCTTTGCAATAGATGTAAATATGACCAATAAACCCTTTGGAAGCGCCTCGGAACGGAGTGAGGCTTTTCTTGACGGTGGTGTCAGGTGGGGAGAAGTTGAGCTCCCACAGCTTGCAGGTCAGTGAGGAGAGGGTGGGGCGTAGGGCAGATGGTGGGGGGCAGGCTGGCCATGGTTCTTCAGGTGGCATAGGGAATAGGGCGTCTGATTCCCGCAGCCCTGCGCCAGGTTCCAGAACCCTCACCCTTGGGGAGGTAAAGCATTGCTCCTAGCGAGGCAGGGTGCTGAGAGAGGCTGCACCCCTTAGCATCTCGTTCCATCCCCTGCCTTCTGACCCAGGCTGAAGGCGGCCAATCAGGATCCTGGGCATGTAAGAGTGGGAATGGGCATCCTATCCTGGGTCCCCTACACAGGCTCCTGCAGCTCCCCCTTCCTCCCCTTGGGATGGGAGGCAGTTGTGGGGGAGAGGAAAGGAAGTGGGAACTGGATGTAACGGCCCAGCTCTGTGTCCTCGGGCAGGTGACAGCCTCTCTGAGCCTGACGAAAGCAGGGATAATCCTCCACCTAATGGGGTCTCTGGAAGGCTCCTGCCCTTCCTGGATCTGCTCTCTAGATGAGGATACCCTCCACTGTCCCCTGAACCTCCTTTCTCCAGGCTCAGGTGGGACCCAAATCCGTGTGCTTCCAGGTGGCTGTCTCAGGCTTAGAGGCCCTGGTGGGAAAGGGGCTTCCGGCCCCAATATCAATGTTTAATCGGATGTGCAGGTCAATATTTACCAGAGGAGAAAGCATCTGCACAGGGGTTGGCTGAGAGCAAAGGTCCTGGTGGGAGGGGAGGGCTGGGCTGGGCTGGCTGGAGCCGGAGCAGAGCGTGGGGAGCACCCAAGTGTCCCAGAGGGACATCGTGTGCAGCAGAGAGAAGCCTCAGAGGTAGGAGGGGGAGTGGTAGCGGCCTGCTCCTCGGGCAGGAGAGGAGGTAGGAGCTGCCCACTTGGCGAGGGGGTCTGGGCTAAATTTATCCAGGAGCCTGTGGTTTCCCAGGCTCCTGGGGTGATGAAAGGTGGGGGGTCCAGGGGAAGGCTCTCTGGGACTTGAAAAACGGGAGGTCATTTCTTGCCAGGAAGATTCAAAAGTCCAGGTTGGGAATCAGAACCTCGGCCAAGGGCCCTGTGTGTGATGGGGGCGGACCCAGGGGTGGTAGAAGGATCCCCCAGAAGGACTGGCCCTGAGATGGGGGTGGGGTGTGTGAGACCTGCTCCGAGGTTAGATCTAGACCTGTCCATCCCCTCCTGACAGCCTGGCTTCCCGGAGGCAGCCGGGGACAGTGTTTCCCAAAAGTCCAAAGGTGGCTTTGGCCAGAGTCATTCATTGGGTTCTGCTGCTGGGTCAACAAGGTGGCTCTTGGGGCCACCCCACCACCCCTGCTGAGACCTCAGAGCCTCCCCAGCCTGCCACCCTTGTGGGCAAGGCCAAACCAGACCAGCCAGAAAAGGTGGGCCAGCTGGATAGGAGATGTGGGGAGGGAGCCCCAGGACCAGGCCGGGCTCTCAGAAGAGGGGCCGTGGGCTAGGCGGCCAGCAGCCATTACCGAGTGCCCGGCCTTGCACTCCGCGCTCACAAACACTGTCTTTTTTTAAAAAATATATATTTTACTGATTTTTTACAGAGAGGAAGGGAGAGGGATAGAGAGTTAGAAACATCGATAAGAGAGAAACATCAATCAGCTGCCTCCTGCACACCTCCTACTGGGGATGTGCCTGCAACCAAGGTACATGCCCTTGACCGGAATCGAACCTGGGACGCTTGAGTCCGCAGGCCGATGCTCTATCCACTGAGCCAAACCGGTTAGGGCTCACAAACACTGTCTTATTTGGTCCTCACAATGCCCGGGGGAGGAGGTAGGGACCTGCGCCGCCGTTTTACAAGATGAGAAGCCCGGAGGGGTAAGGGAGATGTCCAGGGTCCTCTGGCAAGAGTCCGTCTGGATCCACACCCAGGTCTCACTCACAATGCCAGGCCTTGGAGAAGGAGGGCTTTCTTCGCTTTGATATTGTTTCCCCCCATGAACCGAAACACCCCTCGGAGCTGAGAGCCACTGCTGATGTATTTTGGGGACTGTGTGCTGTAGCTGGCGTTGTCCTCTCGGCGATGATGGCTCGGACTCTGCCGGCCAGGGATCGTGTGGGTGGGATCCCATGGTGGTGTAGGGGCTTGGCTCAGCTGGCCAGTCAGCTCATTGGTGACAGTGTGTGTGTGTGTGGACGGGGGCAAGTTGGCAACCAAGCTTCCTGCCCCTCACAGGAACATGGCACTGCTCCGGGGGCTCCTGGTACTCAGCTTGTCCTGCCTGCAAGGGCCCTGCTCAGTGGTGAGTCTGGGCAGGAGTCTGGGTCTGGGTAGGGACGGGCGGTGGGTATGGAGGCCATAGGTCTGAGGGGGCAGAGAAGGGCAGGAGGGTTTGGCTCTGAGGGGGTTCCCCCTCCTCTCCTCATCCTTTTTTCAACAGTTCTCTCCAGCCAGCGCCGTGGAGCCCTTGAGCCAGCAGGTACTGGGAAGAGGGGCTGAGAGGCCGCCCCTGTGGCTCATGCAGGGTGGGGGACCTGTGGGGAGGATCCCTCTCCATGTGCTTCCTCCTTTCTTCAGATAGTGACCGGGCCCAGCCAGGAGAAGCTGCCCCCACTTAGCTTCTTCAAGTTGGTCAACCAGGTACAACCAGGTGGGGCTGGGAAAAAGTGGGCGGGCCCGAGGGAGGGGGGGAACCACCAGCAGGGGTGAGGGGACTGGGGGCGTGGCCTTGAGGCAGAGGGCTGAAGAGAGAGGGTGAGGGACCAGAGGAAGGCATCCAGTCCCCAGAATGTATCAGGCAGGCCTGGGACAAGGCCCTGCTGCCCACAGGCCCAGGGGCTGTGAAGCAGATCTTCAACACAGAACCGGAGCGACCCCTGGCCTCCGCTGACCCCCGCTATATCCCTGCAGGAGCCTGATGGCAAGACTGACCTGAAGGCGGCCTCAGGAGACTGCACTGAGGCCCCCAGCCCGGAGCAGACCCGCAGGCTGGCCAAGGCCATGATGGCCTTCACCACAGACCTCTTCTCCCAGGTGGCCCAGAGTTCCACCCACCCCAACCTCGTCCTGTCGCCTTTGAGTGTGGCTCTGGCGCTGTCTCACCTGGCACTAGGTACTATGGCAGCACCTGTCCAGACCAGCAGAGCTAGGAGGCCAGTGGGAGCTCACTCCTTCAGAATGACTCCTCCAGCGGGGTCGCTGTGACATTTGGTAAACATGCAGACCCCTGGGTCCACTCAAGTCTCTGTGAATCAGATTCCCAGGAATTGGGCCCAAGGATCTGCTTCTGGTGACTTTTAGGCAAGAGTTTGATAGCTACAATGTCTCCATTGGACTGGAGAGTCTCTTGTGGGAAACTGGGGTTCAGAGAGGAAGGACAATTTTCATGAGGCGTGGTCACCCAGACTGTCAGCAGCAGACATGAAAGTAGAACTTGGGAGGGTCCTGTGACTCAGACCAGTTCAGTGGACATGAGGGGAGTGTGTGGTCCCATGGGCGCGCTCACGTGGGTACTCAAGAGGGACTGGGGCGGCGGGGGGCGGGGGGCAGGCAGTGGTGGTGGGAAAGAGCCCCAGCCTGGCCACAGTGATGCGGTCCCTTCCAGGTGCTCAGAACCAAACGCTGCAGAAGTTGCAGAAGGTGCTGCATGCAGACTCAGGGCCCTGCCTCCCCCACCTGCTGAGCCGCCTCTGCCAGGACCTGGGCCCTGGGGCATTCCGCATGGCTGCTAGGATGTACCTGCAGAAAGGTAGGTGCTGGGGGGAGGGAGCTCCCTAGCTAGGGCTGTGCGGGTGGACAGGGTGAGGGAGATGAGCTTAGCTTCAGCCAGTTGGGTCATTGTTGTCTGTGGAGCCTGAGCTCCGGGAACAACCGGCGGCCCCTTCTGTGTAGGATTTCCCATCAAAGAGGACTTCCTGGAACAGTCGGAACATCTCTTTGGCGCAAAGCCCATCAACCTGATGGGAAAGAAGGGGGATGACTTGGCAAACATCAACAACTGGGTGAAGGAGGCCACGGAGGGGAAGATTGAGGACTTCCTCTCGGAGATGGCGGATGACACCGTGCTGCTCCTCCTCAACGTCATCCATTTCCAGGGTGCGCTTCTCCTCTTCTCCGGCCCCCCAGCCTGGCAGCTCCTACCCCCGCCCTGTAGGCTGAGCAGGCGGTGCAGCCGTCACTCTTCCTCCTCAGGGCAGAGCCTCTGGGTTGTGGCTTGGGAGAGGGTAGGAGACAGGTAGTGGTGTGGCAGGGAGGGGGCCCAGGAACGGGATGGGGCTGTTGTGGAGAGAGTACCTAGAAGGAACCCGGTCTGAAAAGACCCAGGGGGAGGTCCCTGGGAGCATGGCGGGGTATGGGGAAAGTGCACACCCAGATTTTAAAAACTCTATAGAAAGGAGATCTCGGATCAACTGGCACAGCACCCTCTGGGGTCTCGGCCCCCACCTTTTGTCCCTGGAATGGGTTCTGGGCCGGATGGGGAAGAGGCTGGTGGTACAGAACCCACCCTGGTCCATTCTACGTGGCCCTGCCCTCTGCTGGATGCAGGTTTCTGGAAGAGCAAGTTCGACCCGAGCCTCACCCAGAGAGGAACTTTCCACCTGGACGGGCAGTTCACGGTGCCGGTGGACATGATGCAGGCCCGCATGTACCCCCTGCGCTGGACCTTGCTGGAGCAGCCCTCGATACAGGTCACCCTTGATTGCCCAGGCCGGGCCTGGGTGCTGGGAGGGGGGCAGGGAGTAGCAGGCTATGGAGCAGGCACAGGGCTGGGGAGGTGTGCCCTCACCTTCCTGGGGTTATGTCCCTGGGACGCGTGGCGATGAAAGGTTTCACTACGCCCCCACCGAGGGGGACTGAGGCTCCAGGCTCATTCATTCAACAAAACCGTATTGGGCATTTGCTCTGTGCAGATACCGTCCTAGGCCTTGGCCATTCAGTGGGACACAAGGGGAGCCCAGATCCCTGCTCTCAGGTGGGAAGACACAAAGTACACAAGTACACAAACACCCACAGGATAATGTCAGTTCGTGATAAGTGCTATGAAGGGAAAAAACCTTTCAAAGGTGACCTAGGAGTGGTATGTTAGAGAGAATGGTCAGGGAGCATTTTTTGAGGAGAGGGCATTGAGTTGAGACCCAGGTGATCTCTAGTCACGAGGGTTTTAGTACAAGGACCCATGGATTGTGGGGCACCCCAGCAGCCATGGAGCCACTTGGGGCCTTAGCACCCCCAAGCCTGGGAGGTGTGACCTGAGCTCTCATGCAGTGTTGCTTAGAAGGGAGGATCTGATTGGGAGGCATTTGTCAGCATCCTGACAGAACATTCTGATTGGACAGAGTGAGATGCCAGGCTATCCCAGGTGTGGAGGCCCTTGCTTCTAGTCTAAATGTGGTCCCCTTGGCTTAGGCACTGACCCCTGGGGCCTGTGGCTGAGATGGCGGCGTTGGGTGGTTTCACAAGGCCAACAGGACACAGGCCACATCTGCTTCTGCAGCCCTCCAGTGGGGGCCTGTGGACGAGGCAGGCCCTTGGAGCAGCATCCCGGCTTCTCTCCAGTTCACCCTGAAAGGAGGGTGGTCTGGTTTACCACCCACCAGATTTCATCCTGCTGCTCCTTCCCTCCAGGCTCTGTCCTGCCCACACTTCCTTCCCCCTTGTCTCCATCCCTCGTTCTCCCTGACCTTCCTGTTCTCAGGCACTCGGCAGGCAGGCCAGGCAGCCAAATGCTGGGGGTCCTGCCACCCATCTGGGCCTGCTGAGAGCCTTGGAGTCAAAGCTGCAAGAGACCATCGAGACTGGGGGTTTTCCTATTTCTTTAGCTACAGAAACCCTGTTCACATGAAATCCTACCCCAAGTCACAGGGCTGGGCAGGGTCACTGTTGAAGTGAGAGGGGTGGAGAGAGGACCATCCTTTGCAGCAACTGCTCTGCAGAACCTGGGGCAGTTTGAAAACCAGCCACCCAAGTGCACTGTATACATGGAGGAACTGAGAGGGGAACACGGGGGTTCTTCACCCCAAGGCACAGGGCTAGCAGGTGGTAGCGGGTGAAGAGCTAGATCGACACCATGAACAAGCGTTATCCCTTTTGGTCACACATCACCTGCAATGTGGTAGGTAGTGTTGCTCCTCTTCACAGGGGGGGCACTGGAGGCTCGGGGAGGCTGAGCTCCTACCTAAGGAGGATGGACTGGAACCCCGGTCCATCGGTCTCAGAGCACATGCTGGCCTAGGTCTGGGTGCGTTCTGGTCCTCACGTGGTCTCCTTCCTTTGTCTGTAGGTGGCTCACTTCCCCTTTAAGAACAACATGAGCTTTGTGGTCATCGTGCCCACCTCCTTTGAGTGGAATGTGTCCCAGGTGCTGGCCAACCTGAGCTGGGACATCCTGCATCAGCCCTTGCTTTGGGAGCGGCCCACCAAGGTCCAGCTGCCTAAGCTGCACCTGAAATATCAGCTGGACCTGGTGGCCACCCTCAGCCAGCTGGGTAAGGAGGGGTCTGGGGCAGCCCCCGGGTGGATGAGGAGGAAGCCCCAGCTGGCAGGGGGTCGGGGCCAAAGCTAGCCTTGTGTTCTGGCCTTTTTTGAGGCTTAAGGAGGTGAGAGGGTTTGATGTGAGTCCCGGGACTGTCTGTCCTAGGACGCGCTGGGTGGCCCAGGTATTGAGGACCTGCTCTGCCCCAGACAGTGTTGCAGAGAATCCCAGGTGGAGAGCCTGGGGTGGTAGGAGAGCCCTCCGTGTACAAAGAGCTCAGCCTAATGGAGTGGGCAGGTGAGGAGCCAGGACTTACAATTCAGCATCAATAATAAGACAGAGGGCTTCTCTCTCTCCAGCTCACTCAGAACATTGAAAAGGCACCTGTCTGGGCTTTGGAGCCGGGGATCCGGGAAGGCTTCCTGGAGGAAGTAACCTTTAAGCTGAGACTTGAAGGTTAAGTGGGAATTAACCAGGCACCTGTGGGTTCAAGGTGTTTCCTGGCCAGGATGCCAGACACCCTCCCAGGCAGGTGCAGGCAGCCTATGGGGCAGAAGGCACCTCTGACCAGCTACCTCTTGCCCTGGGCAGGCCTGCAGGAGCTGTTTCAGAACCCGGACCTCAGTGGGATCTCGGACGAGAGCTTGGTGGTGTCCAGCGTCCAGCATCAGTCCACTTTGGAGCTCAGCGAGGCCGGCGTGGAGGCGGCCGCGGCCACCAGCTTGGCCATGTCCCGCATGTCCCTCTCCACCTTCAGCGTGAACCGCCCCTTCCTCTTCTTCATCCTCGAAGACACCACGAGCCTGCCCCTCTTTGTGGGCAGCGTGAGGAACCCCAACCCAGGTGCGCAGCGGGAGCACAAGGAACAGCAGGATTCCCCCGACAGCAGGGACCTCTTCCCGGACCTGAAAGACTTCGTCCGCGGTGACAAGCCCTTCGACCCTGACTTGAAACTGGAGCCCCTCTTCGAGGAGGATTACCCCCAATTTAGTAGCCCCAAGTGAGGGGCTGTGGGCTCCACTGTCCTGAGTCCCTGCCTGGGCCAGCTCTCAATTCATGTGACTCTTTCCAAACAGCTTTGTGGGATGAGGGGCGGGGGGCCTGGGCGGGCAGGCCGGGGAGGAGAGGAGCCATTCTTTCTATCTCCTCATGGGGAGTTTGGGGGAGGGTGGGGTGAGAGGAGGGGCAGCTGTGAACCCACTTTTGTCAGCAAGGTAGGTGGGTTATTCCTTAAGTCACCTTTGTTTACCAGAGGGCGGGAGGAGGGACTGGATGCCCTGGTTGGGAGAGGAGAGCTGGGCCCTGGGGGGCTCAGGGGCAGAGCACGGTCCCGGGTTAGACACTGTGGGTCAGCCTTGTCCTGCTCTGCATCTGCCATCACCTGCCCAAGGCCCATCAGCCTCCCCACTGGTCCTTAGTGATGCCCACACTGCCCGGACTCCCTTTCCTTCCTCTCTCCTCTTCCTCCTCTGCCTAGGGTCTCAGGGGCTGAGAGGGGTGGCATTAGCTCCTTAGGGCTCTTTTGTAAAGTTTTTGTAGTGATTTTTATGCTACCTGAATAAAGAATGAATGGGCTGCTTTGGTGTCACTGTTGTGGGCGTGGGGGCTGGAGGGGGGAGGGAGGAGGCCACGGAGAGGCTGGACTGAGACTTGGCAGCCCTCTCGGTGCCACGTTTGGTCTCTGGCTGCTCGCCAGCCCTTCTCCACTGTGCGGTCCCCTCTGACCTCGACGGGGGGGGGGGGGCGGGGGGGGGCGGGGGGGGACGGCTCCAGCTGGAGGCTGTCAGCGCCTGAGGATTTGGGGGAAGTGGCTGGGGGCACCTTGGCACAGGGCAGGGGTAGCATGGGTGTCCACGTGGGTGGGCCCTTGTCTGTGAGTGTAGGGTGTCCATGTGGCAGCAGCACCTGCAGCCCTGAAGGGCAGTGATTATAATCAAGGGATGGAATCCTGCTCCTCACAAAGGAGCAGGGGGGGGGGGGGGACAGGTAATGAATAAACAAGGGGAAGATCTGGAATGTCAGAGAGTGATTACCAGGAGAGCTGCGATGAGAAAGAAAGCAGAGAGTGAGACTTGAAGGGGCCCGGGGAAATCCGGGGAAGAGCTTAAACCAGACCACGGCACCCCTCAATTAAAAGCCGTCCACAGTGTCCTGGCAGAGGAATAGCAGTGCAGAGTTCCCGAGGTGGGAGCGCAGTTGGAAGGTTCCGGATGAGCAGGAGGTCCGTGGGCTGGAGTGGAGGGAGTGAGGAGGAAGGTTTGAATCTAGTCATCACCCTGAGGGTCACGGCCATTGCTGCCTAGGTTCTCCCACAGCTGCTCTGGCTGCTTTCATTGCATCCTTATTAAATGCCACGCCTCCTGTGTGCCCAGCAGCCCACCCACCTCTGGGGACGCAGGGACATGAGCAAGCAGACAAGACCCCTGCTCCCGCAGCCTAGAGCTGGTGGCAGAGCAGTCTAAACAATAAACATGCGAACATTTTGGGGTGGGAATATAGTATGTATTTTATTGATTTTTTTACAGAGAGGAAGAGAGAGGGATAGAGAGTTAGAAACATCGATGAGAGAGAAACATCGACCAGCTGCCTCCTGCACATCCCCCACTGGGGGTGTGCCCGCAACCAACATACACGCCCCTGACCGGAATCGAACCTGGGACCCTTCAGTCCGCAGGCCGACGCTCTATCCACTGAGCCAAACCGGTTTCGGCAACATGCGAACATTTTGTGTTGAAATATAGTATGCAAAGAACACAAGTCATAACGGTACATAAGCTTAATGAATTTGTTTATGAACCAAATACCCCTGTTGCAACCAGCACCCAGATCAAGAAACAGTATTCAGCTTCCTGATTTCTTATTTTTTAAAAAAACATCTTTTATTGGTTTCAGAGAGGAAGGGAGAGGGAGAGAGAGATAGAAACATCAATGATGAGAGAGAATCATTGATCGGCTGCCTCCTACAAGCCCCATACTGGGGATCGAACACACAACCTGGGCACGTGCCCTGACTGGGAATCGAACCGTGACCTCCTGGTTCATAGTTTGGCACTCAGCCACTGAGCCACGCTGGCCGGGCCCTCCTGACTTCTAATAGCATATTTGTCTTTCCTGGTTTTGGATTTTACATAAATGAATCATACAGCCCGTGCTCTCTGTCTTGCTTCTTTCATTCAACCTCATGTTTGTGAGTTCATCTGTGTGATTGTGGATGGCCATAATTCATTCACTGTGGAAGGCTTTTAATTGAGGGGTGCCACGGTCTGGTTTAAGCTCTAGAAGGCTCATTTGGCTGCGATGTGGAGGACAGATTATAGGGGGGTGGATGCAGGAGTAGGGAGACTGGTCAGCAGAGTGCTGGCCGTGGAGGAAAGTGGTCAGAACTCAGCCATGTTTTGCAGGTAAATGTTATAGAATCTGTAAACAGATTGTGTGGGAGATGAGGGGAAGGAAAGGCCAAGGGCGGTGGGGTTCATTCTCCAAGTTCCTGGAGTTTGTCTTGAGAAAATGGCTTTTGTTGTTGTTATTAATACTCACATGAGGATATTTTTCCATTGATTTTAGATAGAGTGGAAGGAAGTTGGGGGGGGGAGGGGGAGAGAGAGAGAGAGAGAGAGAGAGAGAGAGAGAGAGACTTCGATTGGTTGCCTCCCGAATGGGGTGGGGATGGAACCTGCAACCCAGGTACATGCCCTTGACCGACCATTGAACCTGCGACCCTTCGGGGCGTGGGCCAACGCTCTAGCCACAGAGAAACACGGGCCAGGGCCAAGCGTCACACTTTGATAAAGGCTATGGAATGAGCCTTCAGGAGAGGGGCTACCTGCAAGAGCAGTCCTTGAACAACACCGGAGGGGCCTCTTCTGTAGTAGGAGAGGGGAGCACCCCTGTCACGGTCATTGGAGGAGAGAGAAGTAATTGGGACATATGGAAAGGTGTAATGAATTGCATAATGCCACTGCTCAGCTCGAAAAATATTCTCAGTATAGTGACAGGCTTACGTTCCCTTCCCCCAATCCTTCCCCTGCCCCCATAACCATCATCCTGAATTTGGTTTTCATTTTCATGCATTTTTAAACTTTCACTACCTGAGTTTTTATCTATTAGAGCTCTACGGTATCATCTTGTGTGTTTTTTTAGCCTTACACAAAGGTATCACCCTGTTTGCATTCTCCTGTAATTTGTATCACTCCACATGGTGAGATAAATGTGTGTTGATTTAAATGGCTTCCCTCGATTATTTCTCAGGCTGTAGACTTTGACACCCTTTATTTAGTCTCCTGCTGATGGACATGCAGGGAGCTCCCATTTTTTTTTTGCCTCTACAAATCCTGCTTCTAGAACAGGGGTCCTCAAACTTTTTAAACAGGGGGCCAGTTCACTGTCCCTCAGACCGTTGGAGGGCTGGACTATAGTTTAAAAAAAAAACTATGAACAAATTCCTATGCACACTGCACATATCTTATTTTGAAGTAAAAAAACAAAACGGGAACAAATACAATATTTGTATTTGCATGTGGCCCGCGGGCCGTAGTTTGAGGACCCCTGTTCTAGAACATTCTTTTTTTTTTTTTTTAATATATTTTATTGATTTTTTTAAAAAAATATATTTTTATTGATTTTTTACAGAGAGGAAGGGAGAGAAATAGAGAGTTAGAAACATCGATGAGAGAGAAACATCAATCAGCTGCCTCCTGCACAGCTCCCACTGGGGATGTGCCCGCAACCCAAGTACATGCCCTTGACTGGAATCGAACCTGGGACCCTTCAGTCCGCAGGCTGACGCTCTATCCACTGAGCCAAACCGGTTTCGGCTAGAACATTCTTTACATACTTCGTTGTGCACATATGTGGAGTGTTTTCAGCTCACATACTTAGGAGTGGAATTACTGAGTTGTGGGTTTGGGTTTACCTACCTTTGTCTGCCAGGGCTGCCACATACGGTTATGCACAACTTTGCCATCTGTTTCAGATTGTTTTTTCAAACTGCTTGTATCGCCAGCAGGGCGTACGAGATCCTGGCCAGCACTTGTTTTTGTTAGATGTTTAAATGTTGCCCATCTGATGAGTGTGAAGCACACTCATCAATTACGGTTTTAACTTGCATTCCCCTGATTATTGGTGAGGACAAAACATCTTTTAGGATTTGTCTTCTGTGAATTACCTGGCCCTGTTTTTCTGTTGAATTGTTTTTCTTATTGATTTGTAATTCTTCCTAAATCACAGTGATTTCTTTTTATCAGTTATCTGTGTTACAAACATTTTCTCCCAGTGTGAGGCTTGTTTTTCATTTTGTTTTATGGTACTTTTTTCATGAAAACTAGTTTTTAATGTTATTGCCAAATTTATCAATCTTTTATCATTTGCGCTTCTTTTGGTGTATATTGTCTTTTTTTTTTTAAAAAAATCTTTCCTACCCAGAGATCACAAAGATAGTCCATCTATACATTTTTCTGAAACATTTACAATTTTTCCTGTTGTATATGTCTGTTTGTGTTTGCCTTTTTAATATATATATATTTTTTATTGATTTCAGAGTGGAAGGGAGAGGGAGAGAGAGAGAGAAACATCAATGATGAGAATCATTGATTGGCTGCCTCCTGCACACCCCCTACTGGGGACCAAGCCTGCAACTCAGGCATGTGCCCTTGACTGGAATCGAACCTGGGACCCTTTAGTCCGCAGGCCGACACTCTATCCACTGAGCCAAACTGTTCTTTTGTGTTCGCTTTTTAAAGCACCAAAACTATCTCTGAAAGGATACATGGGAATGAGATTAACATCTGCTGTCTCCAGGCAGTAGAGTTCATGACTGAAGATCAGAGAGAGAGGAAGACTTTTTTCACTGCATACTTTTTGTGGCTTTTGAGTTTTGAATCATGTAAACATTAAGATCTATTCAAAATTACATAAATTAAATAAAAATTCATTTAAAAGGGTTCTGTAAAACCAGAGATGGTTTTTCACATTTAAATATCTAATGTACCTAGAGTTCATTTTTGTG